TGCAGGAGGTGGCCGGGGAGAGGGAGGTCTGTGCTTGAGCAGTAAGGTTGTGTTTATACACCACGGATAAGCAGTTGTGCCTATTATATTTTATTAAATGCACCTGAAGGTCGTAGTTGATGGATCATAGATAAATGACCAGTCACAAAAAAAACTTGAAGAGCAGGGTGAAGTTCACTTGGACGCTTGCATATTCATGGAGAAATATAAATATTATCGATGCATGATTGTGGATTTTATCTTATCTGCAAAGAGATGACACTTCTGAGTAGAGGCTGAGATTAATTTCGTTAATTTAATCGCTTTTGGTGACCGAAGCTTTTTTAATTTCTTTTTTTTATTTAATGAACAATACCAAAAACTTCCAAAAATTGGCATTTGCCCCTAGAGTCAAAGCATACCTTGAGCTTTCTTCTACATGGGTTTTGTTAAGTGAAGTTTCTCCTTTGGTTACCTCAGCTGATGCTAAGATTTTCATTCGGAGTGAGCAGGATGAACAGGGTTAGAAATGAGTATAACAGAAAGATAGATGGACGGATCAAATCAACAAGACATCAGGACAGCAGAGTGAACAGGAAGGTTTACAAGATGGTAGCGAGACCTGCTATGATGCATGAATGACAGGAAGTCGAGCTGGAGGTGGGAGAAGTTGAAGATGCTTTTCACTGGGAGTGACCCGAAGGGACAAGATTAGAATATCAGAGGGACAGCTCAGGTTGAGGTTTGAGGGGCATGTTTGAGATGGTTTGGACATGTGCAGAGGAGGGATGGTGGATATATTGGGGAAAGAGTGTTGAAGATGGCTCTGCCAGGTTGGAGGAAAAAAGGAAGACCACAGAGAAGTTCATGGATGTCGTGAAGGAGGACATGATAGTTGTTGTGATAGGGTTGGGTGCTAAGGGTAGGGCGAGATGAAGGGAGATGATCTGCTGTGGCAACCTCTAAAGGGAGCTGAACAGAAAAAGGAACCAACAGAATAATTTTATACAGATTATTTTGTTTTCATAATTGGTGGAAGCCAAAATTAGATTAATTGTGTTGCCTTATATTTAGTTTACAATCCGTGGCCACTGGTCCCCCTTCATCCAGAACTATGTCTGTCCTGTCAAATACACTTCTCGGGTAGGTGACCACATTTTGTTAGAACTGTCCATGTGGTTATTTTGATGCTGTCAGCTGTGATTCAGAGCCCAACTGTGTAATATCTGCTTCAGAGTCCTGACTTTTAGCTACTTTTCTCTGTGCCCCCCGTTCCTCCTACCCCCCTGTTGAGGCCTCGGTATCACCTCGTCCTCTGATTGTTTCAGGACTCGGCCTCAGGTTGTCCTTGGCAGCGGGCACTAGAGAAAATGTTTAGCCTGTTTGTTTTTCTAGTAATTAGCCCTAAAACGGCCTGTAATACAGACTGTTAATGGTCCACAGAGAGCTGAGCCTGTGTCAACACACGTGTGTGTGTGTGTGTGTGTGTGTGTGTGTGTGTGTGTGTG